AGTATAGAGAGAAGCGCCGACCTTGCTACCTAGCCTTTCTCGATCTGGAGAAGGCGTTCGACCGTCTACCGCGAGCAGTGCTATGGAGGGCGCTTAGGGAACGAAACGTGCCGAAATTCCAGATCTCGCTGGTGAAGGATATGTACGAAGGAGCCAAAGCAGCCATACACATCCCTCACCGCCTAACAAAGGACACAAACATCACGGTTGGGGTGCACCAAGAATCAGCTCTGAGCCCATTCCTGTTTCAGCTCTGAGCCCATTCCTGTTCCTCCTAACGCTGGATACCATGGTTAAGAGCCTCATGGAAGGACCACTAAAGACCATCCTCTACGCTGACGACATAGCCTTGATAGCGGATAGCAGAAAGGAACTCCAAGCCAAGGTGCAGAAATGGCAGAACGTCATGGCAGAAGGTGGGCTCCGGCTGAATGTCAAGAAGACCAAGTTCCTGAGCTCCGAAGAGGGTGCAGAGCCGATCGTGGACGGCCATGGTGAGACCATGAAGATTGGAGGACTTTCGCTACTTTAGGAGCGATCTGGCTGCCGACAGTGGCGTGGATCAGGCAGGTGAAGGCTCGAGTCAACGCTGCATGAATGAAATATAGGGAGTCCACTGGAATCCTCCATGATCGAAGATGCTTCAGAACGCTCAAAGGGAAGGTGTACCGAACAGTAGTCAGGCCTACGATGCTATACGCAGCGATGCTGGCCCCTGAACAGAAACCACGAAAGGCAGCTACACTCCGCTGAGATGAGGACGCTAAGATGGGCCTGCGGCTGGACGCGGCTGGACAGGGCCAGAAACTGGGATGTCAGGGTCTTCATGCAGACTGCTCGTGTCATGCGAAAGCAGCGCCTCCGATGGTGTGGGCACGTGCTGAGGAGGCCAGAGGATCATCCGATCAAGAAGATGGGCTTCGAAGTGCAAGGCAAGCGACCGCGAGCAGCCCCAAGGAAGAGGTGGAGAGACGTGATCAAGAAGGATCTGAATGAAGTCATGGCCACAGCAGAGGACGCCTTGGACAGATTAAAGTGGCGACGATTGACAAAGGCAGCGGATCCTGCGACTGCGTGGGACTAACGCTAGAGAGAAGGAAGAAGAAGTGAAGTTGCCCCTCGAACTGGGGTTTCATGTGTTTCTTTTGTACAGATTTTTACAATTTTATTGGTCAACGTTTCAACAACGTCGTGTTCACGACAAAGCGGTTCGGACTTCAGCTTGCACCTAACCCGGCTAAGTGCACAATCCTACTAGGCTACTTACAACTACACTGGTGTGCAAAACTTAAGGACCGAAGTAACTTTCACATGATATCTCACTGCTAGTTAACCTAGGTGGACCAAATTAGGCACATATATAGAAGTAAATGTTGCGGTACAGCGCAGAGAGTTACTAACAGAAAAGCGCAAAGGGACGATTGGAAAAGACATTTTTCTGCAAATACCCTGTCTGAAGCGGTCGATAGGTGAGGCTTCTCCAACTCATGGTAGACATTCAAAAGAGAGGAGCTGGTTCTTGATGGGGTGTATGAACACTACGGACTGCAAAGTATGCTCTGCTACGTGTTCCCATACAGGCTGTAAGATTAGTTAAGAGTTCTTGAGGAGAAGTGGCCGATTCATTGGAGACCGCGATTGACAACTGCAGGACTATTGTTGGCACATGGTCATGTGCTACAATAGCTCATCTGAATCCACGCCACACGTGCTCCATAGAGTTAGACTGAGGAAATAAATGGCTTCACCAATTACCGAAAATCCTCCCTTTTCAAGAGTTTTCCACTCAGGCTGCTCGATACTCCCGCACACGCCCTCCATACGATTGAAGCTGAGGGCAAGGGAACCCTTGGAAAGATGCACATGACAGAAGGGTACAACACCACAATCACGTTGATCAGAAAGTGTTAACGCGATCATGAGTTGGGATCAGTACGCCCCCGACAGCTTTATGCCTTCCCACATCGATGGTCGCATGCACTACCAAAACAATCATGTTAAACGATGGTCCTGGGTAGATTACACGTTCCTATTTTTCCCCATATGCAGTAAGTCCAGAATCACTACTCACATTCAGTTGTTCTTGACCGGGAAGAATACGCGATTTTTCAATTCGGTGGTCCCTCTCCAATGTCTCGGCTCGATCCAAATGTCCCAGCCGAGGCGTGGATTTCAAATGAATACAGGTATTGTTGATCGATGAGAGAGATCGCTGCCTGGGCGTCCACTGCGCCATTGTCCGGACTGGGATTACATGCCTTACAATCCTGATAAATGTTTTTGCAAGCGCATGTGACCTGACGTAGGTCCATTTTGCCTGTAGCAAAACCTAGCAATCACCTGCTGCTGCGGTTGTTCGTGACCCACAACCTCCTCTTCTTGGACAAACAGTGGCTCGCGGTCCACATTGCTTCTCATGCACAAAAAACAATGCTGTGGTTGACACAAACTCCTGGACACAACTTCCTTTTTTTCAGTTCCCAATGATTCTTCCTCGCGTAAAGTCACCCTAGTGTTTCTCTGAGACTTGATGTAATCAGAACACCACTACATTCCACAGTAACTCTCCCTGTTTAGTTCACCCCTCTTGTTCTGCCCCACGATACCCATCGTTCTGGGTGGCCACCCTATTTAGGCCTCCAGATTGAAGCCGGATGCAAGACATATGAGGCCCACTTCGGTGCCCATGACTGTAGGGCTTCTAGCATTATGCCCGTACAGTTTCATCCATTTCCATCTCAATTGTTAATAAGTAAGCGACAATTTTATCTATCTGTCCTTTAAATTTTGATCACACCAGTGTATTACCAGAAACCTCATGCAAAGTGGCCTCGAGCACAATGTAAGCGATATCCTGAAATGGCCCGAAATAAAAATTGAATCAGAAAGGCTTACTGATCAGTTCGATGACATTATTTAATTATTCGGAACTGGGTCGTTCTAAACCCTCACCACTTATCATGAGGTGTCGCCTTTACGCAATGTACACGGCATTTTCAGGTTGCGAATGAAGATTCATGAACACACTCCCAGAATCTTGTATATGTGGACTGTATGGGTCCAGAAATTCGACACATGAAAATCCACAACGCCTTCAGCCATTCACAGAATTAAAGTGGAAAGAAATTAAAGAAACGAGTGAGTGGAGAAATGATGCGAATGTAACATGATCATAAGAATTATTTCAGATATCCAACGGTAGTGACACTTTTTGATTTGCACCACCAAGTGGTCGCTCAGACGTGACATCTTTCAAATGACTTTGACTAAGCTAATATACACGGCGCAAGTCATAAAGAAACGGTTAGACGCTGAGTGTATCATTTATTCTACAGCTCATTAAGGTGGTGTGTTCTAGAAACATTTAGAGGAATTTGACATAAGTCGCAACGGCGATATACAACAGCGTAAAAGCAGGAGATTTTCCAAGCGGCTTGGGGACTTCCCTGACATTTCCTCTCACAAATATCTCGCGAACTGGAGAGCGCCGAAACCACATTTAATACCTATTGAAAAGCAACAATCTTCACATCATAACTAACGCTGCCCTAACAATTTTGAAAGCTTACCTATGAAGCTAGTCAGGGTCGTTCTGTTGGGATACGCAGTGATCACATATAACTGCAGATTTTTCTTGTAAGCCAGTTCGATGGCTTCTGATAATTCTTCTTATCCTGCCGGAAATTCGGCAGGATACAATGCCATGCCTTGCTTTGGTGTTCGCCTTCCGAGCTCCGGAGCTCCCCTGCTACCGCGTCCGCTCTTCGCAGGCTGGATGTGGTTGAGAAGAACACTGTCGACGATTTGGCGATGTAGTACACATCGTAGTTTATTTGAAGGGAGCGCCCTCTGTTCATCCCAGCCAAATCTCCACTTCCGCTGTCACTATGTCCGGTGTGCCAGCAGCAACATTAAAAGAAAGTCGGCCCATAAAACGGCAAGCTTTCAGTGCTGCACAGCAGTCAAGTGGCAGTTTCCCAGGCATTTTCAATTCTTTCTTAGCATAAAGGAGTCATCGGTCGCTTTGGAATGTCCAAAAGAATCTAGTATTAAGTTTGACGTGGACAACACCACTTTGAGGATGTCTTCAAGTCAGAACTCGGATGCAGCACCGAGGCCAATGTTAAGTCTACCTTGAGTCCGGTGCTCGCCTGGTTCTCATTATGAAGTAGCCGGCTCTCTCCGCCTCCAAACAGCTTCCTGATCCGAGATCGACCGTATCGTAGAGTTACCGCCTTCTTCAGATCGACTTCGCCGACATTTAGCTACAGGTCGAAGTCGATAACGACTTCCCCACCATCAATACAATCAAGACTCTACCGCTACAATGGCCTGCCGTTGGGGTCACCCTTGTCATTTTCCAACAGATTATTGACTCCATGATCTCTGAACTCAGCGGCGGTACTGCTTATCTCGACGATATCATCGTCACCGGTCGCACACTGTCCGAGCCCAACGGCGGCCTTGAATATTTTGGAGGATACTCGCCTATGGCTTCCGCGTCCGGAGCGACAAGTACCACTTCGTATATTCAGGTTACCTACCTCGGAACGTCATCACTGCTGTCGCGCGCAGGTCCGATGCTAAAGCAGATCTCAGAACCTAAGAATGCTGCTCAGGTCCGGTCATTTCTGGGACTCACCAACTTCCACGAAGCATTCGTTCCAGAGATGCACCAGCTCCGTACACTCGAATCACAACTCAAGAGAGGAGCCCGTCTGAATGGTACTCCGAATGCGGCGCAGTGCTCGTTTCAGACCTGCTCATCGCTTACTACAACCGGGAATTTACCCGTTATCATCGCGGAGCTCGTGAGCAACAATGGAGATTCAGGTAGCTATCCTACAATTTCGGGATCAAGTACAGGAGCTCCACTAGCTTCGGAAAAGGCGACGCACTATTTCGATCGACTGGGTTGACGCCTGATGCTGGGTGCAGCAAGCCTCGAGCCTGGGATCGGCATGAGATCACCCGACAATCTGTAGGGGTATGCCCCCAACCTCGAGGACACATCCCATGCTCAGAGACATATCCGCAACCTCGGAGACGAGCAAATCCCCAAGTCGAGGGTCAAGGATGGGAGGACCCATCCTTGACGATGGTGACGGGACCCATCCCCGATCAAGACTGCTAACCAGCCACTGAATGAGGTGTCATAAGTGCCAAAATGCCAGTGACGTCAACGACGTCTTTGAAAACAACACCAGCCACCTACTGAATATGCTCTCCAATTTCCAGTTGAGAGGATTCGGTTTGGCAATAACTCAATTGATTCCGAGTTTATTGAAAAAAAAATGCTATTCAATTTTGTCTTGAAGAACGAAAACGTAAAATCTTGAAAGTTTCAACGGGCAATATCAATAATTAATCACATGGCAGTTTGTGTATCTTTATGCTCGTTGACCTTCCCCAGCCAAACAGCTTTTTCACCAACCTTTTCATACATTGTTCCACCGCTGGCACGCCACATGTTGAAGTTCTTCCTGACCCATTTCTCGGTCAACTGCAGAGCGATCTCTTCTTGGCCAGACATTCTAAGGCCTTCGATGAGGATCCACTGTGTTGGTGCAAATGCATTGGGAAAATCCCACTGCTGACCTTAATGCTACATTGTTAAGCACAAGGAATGCCTTTTAGAACAAAATTGATACCATATTCTTCAAAAGTGGAGCCGTTTACCAACCTGTAGCAATGAGTGAAGTTGGCACTCCACCGGGAAACTCTAGTACGCCTACTTTTCGTAAGTAGTCAACGATGGTTTGGGAATCAAAACCTGCAAAGAAAAGGGTTATTTTCAAAAATCCTTGTTGTAGGCAAAGGTCGGACTTATTATGGAGTATCATTGTGGCAACTGAGTGTGGAGATGCGAAACGGAACGACAGTGGAGAAAAAATGAAAAGGAATCGTCGACAAGGTCGAAAACAAAACCCCTGCTTCCACTAGTAGTCGAGGAGGCTGGTCTGGGAGACACGTCCAAACGAGTCTTCTGGAAATGCCAGCCATCGAATCGGTTGATATGGGTATCAGCCTAGCTGATTTCACACGTTATGCCAGCACGCACCATTTCCGGAGGTGGGTGGGCATAGCACCGACCAGGCGGCGATAGCGATCAATGCGTCTCATGGGGCTTTATTACCATGCCGTTTGGGATTGTGAGCGTAGTAACGTGTCTGTGTGATTAACGCACATAGATGATGAAAAGGTTTGGCTTGGTTGCCTAATCCAAACCTTTGCCTTAAATTAATTTCACCTAGTTCCGCTGGAGTTATTCTAGCATCACTGTTCTGAAATTCAACCCGCTATCTGATTTTGTTCTCTCCTACTTGTGCAGTCGGGAGGCAATAATGACCTCCTTTCCCGCTTATGATAGCAATCCCGAAAATAATGCGGCAGTGAGGAAGAAACGGAAAGAGCGATAGTCCAATAGAGAAATGGAGCCGCCGAACTGCCTGGCGATTTCAAGCCTGGGATAGCTTACTGCTACGGTAGTCTGCCTGGACCAGGGCGAATAAATGAAGATCGATGAGATGAGAGAGGAGCACATGCTTGACATACTACACTTTCAGAATGAAGATCGAGCGACAGTGATAATACATAGTACAGCGCTTCGTCTGTCGTATGTCGTCCAGTCATCTGTCTGTCGTCTGTCGTTCTGTACGTTCTAAATGTCTGTCACCAAATTCCCTTCTTGGAGATCCGCCTGGAGAGACCGGTTCAAGTGTGGGATGGGCGGACCTTGCCTCGAGAAGTACAAAACATACATCAACTAGGCGGAGCCCCGCCCACAGTAGACGCGGCGTGCACCGAAATGAGCAGTAGTAACGATCAGGATTTCAAATTCAAATCCAAAACAGCCTGTCGACTGTGAAAAAAGCGGGGCATGCTGTGCATTGGTGAGCCAGACCAAATGGGGGAAACACACCTAAGGGCAAAGTTTTCTTGAGAAGCAGTTATCAATGAAAACGATAACTCTTTCGGAAAAAGTCTACAGAGCAGATAAAAAATCGGTGTAAGGAAGAATATCGAGGTGCTCTCGCATGACGTGAGCGGAGACAAGCCCACAATAGGCGGAGCATGCCCCGAATTAGATTGAGTTTCCCACGAGTCCTTATAGTTAGGTTCTGCACAAGTCTTTGAGAACGGGAAAAGGTGCATAGAGGTAAGAGAGGTATGGGAGGCCAACCACATTCGGCGAGCGGGACATGCACAAAAGTCGGCAAAGTTTGTCACAAACCTTCATAACACGATTACAAGAAGCCGGAGACTGCGAAATAGTGGGTAGAGGTCAGCGAAAGAAAGGGGTCAAGTGCTAAAGTTGAATGGGGCATGCATCAGAGTGCGCGGGGTTGCCAAACACATATCTCGGTTCAAATAAATCCCAGAGATGAGCCCGGGAAAAGGGGTTGGAGATTGGTGAAGGAAAGGAGATCAACCGCTAATGTTGGGAGGTGCATGACCAAACTAGGGCGGAGTTTGCCGCAAAAACATCATTATCGGTAGAGAGAGATTCCGAACCGTGAAAAAAATAGGTTGGCGAGGAAGAAAAGGTATAACGCTATTGGTAGGAGAGGCACATATCAAAGAGCAAAGTTTGCCACGAAACTTCATTACTCGGTCTCGGAGACAGGAGAAGAGCGGAGAGAGGTCGGCAAGGAAAGGAGGTGAAACCCTGTTGGAGGGTGGGGCAGCATTGGAATGGGCGGAGTTCCAAAGAAATTTGTAAATCGGTTTAGAGGCAGTCCAGAGACCGCAAAAGCGTGCCATGCTTGACGAAGGAGGGAAGGTCATAGGCCTGGTGAGTGGGTTGAAACGTGGTGGGCATTGCGAGTGGGAATTTCGCCACGCCTTCCTTCTTGCCACAGATCTGTGTTGTGCACGCAACAGCGTGGAGTCATACATATCGCGCACTCTGCTGTTTGAGAGCTACGGGCAACTTGAAGTGGAAAAGCAAAAAAGCACTGATCACTCGAATGTTCGCTGTAGAGCTTGAAAGATATGGCCATCACCGACAAGTCCAAATAGGAACTGCGCAATCGCTTCGTATTAGGTTGGAAAGAAAGTTCTGTGACACCCTTTCTAAATTTTCTTTTTTTTTCTGAAAAATTCATGGGTAACGCTTATGATTAACAAGCGGTAGAGCATTCTCGTGGCTTCAATCCACGCGGTGGATATAAGTGCTGCAGTCAGGACTTATCCAAGAAAATTCAAAAACTTTCGACCACTAGCAAATCCATACCCCGAGTCACTGTCTAGTACAAATGTTTACAAAACTACGGATTCGTGTCAACGACTGACGCTATCTGCAATAGCTTCTACATATAGGCATGCCGTTCAGCGCTACAGCGTGTTTCAACTTTACCAGAGTTTTCGATCTTTTGGTATTTTTATAAGAAACCAGCAGCGTCCCATACACTCCATTGCCGGTAGGACTCTTACGAAAACTCAGCTACACATTCTTCTTCATTGGCACCATTGTGTAGCTAGATGTCTAGGCTACGGAAATCTAGAAGTTGGCCGAAGTAGCTCGACAGGAGCTCTCGTACCGCGACAATATTTATTACTTTCACGACACTGCGAATCAGCATGATCCGGAATGAGTAAGAAATTCGGGAGTTGCGGCAAGATTTCTTACCTCTCTACGTATTACCGTGGTCGATACAAATGACTGCCACCTACCCGGACCTTAAATCATTATCTTGATGACGAAATAATTAGAAGATCAACTATAACTAAAAAGTGTGGTCGCCTCCTCTCTCGATCCGCACTCCGCTGGGTTTTGGCGAAGGAGCATCAAGAATTTCTGAGCGTTGGAGACAAGTGGTGGACACTCATGGTAGATATAAGACCGGTCAGGAGTTATAAACAGAAAAGATGAAATTAAAATCAAAAATTTGGAAAAGTGTCGCAGGACTTCCTTTCCAACCTAATACTTCAAAGAGACACTAGAAAAACATGAGAGATCTTGAAGAGTTGTAAAAAATGTCCATGAATGAGCAGAGAGAGCCAGTGGAGGCGGAATACAAGGTAAGACATCGGTCTAAGCAATGAAGGAGAGAGGGTGGCTTTAATAATTCCATGTCGTGCTCAACTAATCCAACCGGAAGTAGACTTGCTGCTTGAATGAGAGAATGAAGAGAATACTGCCTGGGTCCAGCAGACAAACTCGATATAAACATCCTACTACTTATAATCTTCTGAATGTGTCGTGTGTGTTGTGTGGTGTGTGTGTGCTGTGTGTGCATGAGTGTGTGTGTGTTCGACCAAGGGCCGCATGCTATCCTTCCCCGAAGCTAGGTGATATAAAGTTTCCTTCGAATTTATTCGTTTTGAACGATGTAGTTTCTTCATTTTCATTACTTTTATTTTGACTTACACACACATTAAACGTAGACTCTTTATTAGGGCAATCCCAGTTGGGAATGCAGAGAAAATTTAAAAGGATTTTCGTCTCCCAACCCTTTGTGGGTGGGTAGCATACGGCTCCGAAAATTCGCAACGAGTGTCACAGCAGTTTGACGCTTGGCTCTCATGCATTTTATAGGAGTGGGACGGAGACATAGATGGTGGGTAGTGTAAACTGATAGCAAATGGACGCTTTCCATCAACGTTGCCGATACCGAGCTACAAAGATATCGGATAATATCACGAATTAGGAACTCCTGTGTAGCTGGGGTATGAAAAACGTCCCTGTGACTACGGCAGGCGTAGTATTCAACTGGTTGGCCATTCCTATGCAAGCCACAACAACGTATTCCACGAAGGGCACGTACTTGAACACTTAATGGGCCAAGAGAGCCGCCCTTAACACGTTGAGGCGAACATTCAATAATGACCACAAGGCCATGTATGCGGGAGGGATGCTTGCACAAGCGCAAAGTCGTCAGCAATGCATGGAACTCGTCGTTTGATGTGTTCAACAGGGCGGGAGGAGCTAAGTCTAAGCCTGAGATCAATCATGGTGAGGGGTGTTGAAAAACATTACCATCATAATGTAATGGGATGAGCATCAACAGAAATACTCTCATATTAGTTTTCCCTTTACCTGGATGCGTAGATTTTGTGTACAGCGGGAAAAAATTAGTGTCACTGAACATACGAAGGTGCTGATCATTGGCGATGTCATAATCGAACCAACACCCAGCTGACTCGTTCCACAATACCTGTAACAACTGAAAATTGCATATTTCACCAGAGGGTTCAAAAACAAAGCTACATTGGAAACCATTTGTTGATAATTAGCAAATATTGCCACCATTTTCAGCTAATGCCAAGTGATGAACATGCCCACTTTTCACATACTCCATCAGACCATAAGAAGTTCTTTCAGCTACGAGTAGATGAATCGTGGAAGATCTTTGACAACTAGATCTTGCTGCTTCGCGATAACCCATGTTTCCTAACCCCCTACTCTCGCCTCTACCCTTCACAAATGCGCTTCTATCCTTTTCTTCCTGTCAAAATTCATCGTAGTTTTCAAGTGACTATTTTTCGCAAATGATGTAGGTTCAAGAAGACAACTCAACGAATTGAGTTTGAAGTTGAGAGGATGAGGTCAACGCCGAAACCCAATTCCCCGAGATTTTTTGTAACTGTGATCTGTTCGAATAAAATCATCAAAAAAGGCTGATGTTTTCAGCAGATCCAATCTGGTTTCTAAAATTGTGCAAAACAGATTCAAATGCGAAGGGGATGAAACGTGTTTGCTGAGGCAATGTATTTCCTTGCCGTTTTCGCATTTTTCGAGAGAATGTGCATAAGATGGTATCGTCAATGGTAGAATCCACTAACCTGATGTATTGTCTGCTTCATTAAGTCAGCCTCTTGTGCACAGCTTTTCGAACCGTCAATATTCCCCATTGCATCGTAAAGATCACGCATCAGTTGAAGATTTCCACATATGATAGCATTGAGATCCACAGGTACTATCTCACTCGTCCTTCAAAGATAATATCTACCAAAGATGCTTCCAGAGAGGTGGGCTTCTCAAATAGCAGTCATTGACCACAACTATCAGTTGTCAGCCTACGAGGTGACCTTTCACTATACATCCTCACATTGGACTGCGGCCGTGAGGTCGTCACGGACCGGTTTTCTTTAAAAAAATACCGAGTGATTCTTCAACATCAAAGTTGCCGCGCATTTCAGGTGTGCTTGGATAAGAGGTGGGCCCGTTGAGCTTCGTCACTACATCTGCATGCATAGCCATATCTACACTCTTGCTTACTTTCTAGACCTTGTTTGAATTTCGCACATTTTTCCCGAGTGCTTGCTTGTATAGAGACTTTTCAGAATTTTGAGAACAGAAAGCTGTCCAGCAACCTAATAGCGCCTTATCGTGACATACTGCGTCCACTTGGCGCGCGCTCCACGTACCAATAGTGGCTAATTTGTCTTGCTTCACCAACCGTCTACCCCTCAATAGCTCAACTAAGATTACTAAGATAAAACCATAAGACCCCAAGAGAACGTGTATGTTAACACGTTTATGACATCGCACATTTTGGGTTTTTGCACTGCGTGGGACACGGGCGCTTTTGCAAGCGCGGCCGTCACACCTCACACCCGTATATTTCGAACGATAACCTTGGGAAGCCGCAAAGGTACGAAACCATTTCAGCAATATTCAATGCGTAGAAAGTGATCGAAGATTAAGTAGCGAAATTCTGATCCAAAAACGTGAAATGGTAAACAAAATTGGAGTTCAAGTCCGTTTCTTTGTATTGGATGCTAAAACTATTCTCGATGTGGAGGTGTCAAGTGAAACATACTATATCTTTCTACCAGATTAGTCCCCCGTCAACCGCCGGGACCTTCCTTTCCTGCGCAAGCTTTCTATCCTCCGCTATGGTCCCTTCCTCCTGTACACCAACACTTCGTGGAAGTGACGCGTGTGCAACACATGTGTTTCAAACAGTAGAAGGGACACAATCATGATATGACGGTAGATTCTTCGTCTCCCTTCCTCATCCTCCCTTCCTCTCCACTGCCCTCCAGCTGCCACTGCAGCACATGTGGAATGAAACGAAGGTGTGCTAATGGTAAGCAGGGTGTTCATATAGCCCTGAGAGTGTTATCACAACTATCCTGCTACAAAACATTGATATCTCAAATCCTGTAAGCTACCCGATTGTTAGCGGTTTGTTTATCCCATGAGCTTCCTTCTCACTCACGTCATTTTGCGGACGGACACACATACATACATACACCACACACATACAGATACACAAACCGCCACACAAAGTTAGCGCTTTATAAAATAGAAGGATCCTTTAAGTTTGTATTTACTTTCACTACCTTTTCTCACTGACATGTTCATCAGGACAGGAAGAAAACGAGGGATGAACCGAGCTGCCAATTCCGCTGTGCTCAGAAACTTCTGTTAAACTGGAGTATATTTGATCACACCGTGACCCTTGTCGTTTACAGTTTACGTTATGTTATTATGCGTCATACACGGGTTTTTTTTATTGTTATGCACTAGCAGTCAATTTGTCAAACCTCCGCACAGAAGATGGACACACGTATCCCCAAATGGAATTTTATTATGAGCTTGATCACATCCTGTGGAATCCAAGAGCCATGACAAATGTGGCAGATGCCCTCTCATTCAATACAGGGAGCGACCATCGGCTGTTGCGAGGACGGTTCTACTTCAGTCGTGGTTTTGTACGCCTGACTCATATACGATCAAGACTATCACGCCCTACCGTTCTAGATACGGATGCAGTCGTGATGCTCACAAATGGAGAGTCTTTCTAATGACTGATGATATCAACAAAGATTACGAAAATCTCATAGAAGCGGTTTCAAAGATCGCAGAAAATTGCCGTGGCGTTATCCCAAATCACAACGCACGTCGAATTTCTGCCTCTACTCGTGCTTCACGGAGAAAACGAGGAATACGGAGTGAAAAGGAAACCACGTTGAGTGCACCCTACTAAGTAGGCCCTGCAGACGACGCAGCACTGATTCAGTCGACGCAGAAATAAAAGAACTTTGAGAGCAGCCAGAGTTAGGATTGCAGAGCAACGTTCAATGATCCACCTTGATCGCATCCTCGATCCATTCAATGACCGTGTACTATTCGAGTTTCCTGGAAAGCGGATTTCGAAAAGGTCCTCTTAGTCAGAGCTAATGTAATCCAACAGTGAACCGATTCAAGAAATTATTTAAGAGCTCCAGGCAAGAGTTGTTAGAGCAGGCCTCTTTCAGCTCAACGGCGATGGCAGATGAGGTCATATTCTGAAAACGGTGAGGGAGTGAAGACGGGCCTCATATAGGGACATAAAGGAATATTTTGCTGAGGAATTTAAATTAATGACGGCAATCTCCGCGAAGAAAGAAGGACTGAAGTGCGACGTGAGCAAAATGTCTTTTTTTGCCTTCCCCCTCCCCTCTAAATACGTAATCGAGTACAGGCATATATACATACACACCGACATACACACAGACACACAAAGCAACACAGAAGATAGCGGGTTATATAATAAGAAGTTCGTTACCAAACCTAACATAAACCATACCTGTATCACATTTTCTTCCAAAACATCTCTTACCTAGTGCCTTCAAATTTTCCTGCCATTGGTCCTGTTTGACTGAACCAGCGACTTGAGAAATCTCTTCCACTTTCTGCCGCAGCCGCGATATCACCCCAAAGCTTCTGCTTGTCTGCTTCTGAGCACATAGCAATAACACCTTACAGCAGGGATCATGACAAATTATTTTGGGATCTTAGTACCTTCATAAAGATAAGCCGCAGTTTCAATATCTGCACGATAACTCTCCGGTCGTGGTGCATCAACTACAACATGGTAGCGGTAGAGATGACCTGGCCATCCATCCATAATAATTGACCTGTTGGTCCGGAAAAATGCTATCTGGAACGAGACATTTATGTATGTGCCCCGTAAATCGTTGGAATTATTGACGTAGTTATTGCTTTCAAGGTGCGCTAAGATAGGGCCGAAGTGAGTTAACGAAGTGGGGGTAGCGAATGGAAGAAAGTCCTTGAAATTCACTGATTCCAAAATCTTTTCTTCCACAAAGTTCTCAAATCTTCTCTTCCAGGAAATTTTCTTTGGTTCTGTACGGTCAATTCAACCATATCTCTCGCTACGACTCTCTAATACCACAGGTGGGGGATCACACACAAATATAATTTCCTTTCTACCACGTACCACCACTCTCGCCATCATGGTATTTCTGGTTTCTATATACAACTGTTCGATTCTAAGACCAGTCGGCACGCTCCAAAACTCGGCCCGCTTATCCCTTCAAGATGACCGTTGAGCGGGGCTAGTTATGTCTGAGGAAACGATACATGTTACATTCTGTTCAAACCATGCTTATTTTTATAGTTCCACGATTTTTATGAAAAGTTCCCGAATGCTCGTCAAAAACGACCGCAACCCCTTCTACCTTTGACCTTTGTCAATGCCAACTAGGACTCCCTCTCAGAATTCGCAGATACGGTCCCCCTCTGGATCGGCCAACGAACGATTGAATCTATTAACAATTATACTCTGAGATGCTCTGCACACTTTCTTGCAGTGAAAAGTCGCAATGAGATCCAAAAGAGTATTTCGTTCGGTGAAGGCCAGCCAGTCCATAGAATGCGTGTCAGATCTCCATGTTTAGAGTGCTCTATCTCAGTAGTCCAAACATGGCGCCCCTACCTTTAGTTAACCTGGCACAACGGACAAATGGCCTTTATCGAAGTGTAGATATTTGCGCTCAAAGGCAAAGTTCAGGCTCAGACCCACCCAATAAGCCATTATTGTGGCTAGAAGTGCATGCATGGGACGCAAGTGCAGGCGACTCGCCAAGTTCCCGCATCCAGATGTGTCACTAAGGCGCTAGGGGCCAAGGACTTTGGCACGCTTCACCTGTTGCGACACGACCCACCCACCGCTCGATACTTTGTCTGCGTCTCAATGCTGAGCTGCTATTCACTCTCTTCTAGGATTTCTCTACCGCTCTCAGCACTCGTAGTAACACATATGTGCGGTCTTTCGAGCTTTTCCGCAACGTGGAGCAAAAGGCTCGTATTTCCTGTGTATTTTACGATTTTTTCCTTTTTTCTCCACTGGCAGTCCACCTACCACCCCCACATCACACTTGAGTAGAATTACCTTATCAGTTTAGGCTTGAATTTTGCCTTCAACGCAAGGACGTTCACAGATGAATGGGCGTTACTCTTTCGCTGCTATGAGATAATTGCATGTACTAATGGTTACTTCACAGATGAAAATGTGAAAAGAACGGCAGGACTTCAAACCGTGGCTTGAGATTGGGTATAAGAGTCAGTCCCTCCTAGGATGAGAAAGAGAAATCCTCGAGCACAGGAGTTGTGACACTGCCGCCACCCAAAAGTGTGCGGCAAAGGCGCTAAGGTCTTGCTGACTCTGCCACTCCATCAATTGTGAAGTACGTGGCATTTGCCTTCTCTCACGTACGGCGCACTCCCACGCTTTCTATCCTCGCAGCGCTGTGTCTCTCCCTTACACCACGGCCGACCTCACAAAAGGAATTCTAGCGTTTTCTATGAAGGTTTTTGCTTTTTCTACCCACTAGAGTTCCTCATTGCACTTCTTGCCTAATCTTCGAACAAATTAACACCCAACTCAATCCCGTTCCGTGCCTTTGAAGGAATCCTTCGCGGGAAAAATCGCGCGTTCTTTTCCAACTCGTGTATGTCAGTTGTGATCACCAGAGACAACATACAAAGTTGCACGCACCAAGCTTCAGCTCCCGAAGAGGAACAATTCACGAAAACCACACTCTATGGACATTGGAAGGTAAGTGGCACGGAGTCGAAGGGCCTAGAAAAAAGTGCGCCTTGGGGCTGCTACGTATCAGGCGACGCAATGAGGGAATCTGGGAAGAGCGTTCGATTTTGGAGAATACAAGAGTAAACTCGATAGAATGTGATGCAGTAGAAGTGTGAGATGTCGCGCAATGAGTGAAAAGGTCAAGAAGAATCCCTAGTGACAGCGCTCCTTGGACCAAGTGGAAGAATTCCCGCCGCCAAGGTTTGTGACAAATGTCTGGTGGTAAATTGAGCACATAGCAGTCCGTTCGGTTTTTCGAGTTGTTTACCAAAACAAACGGAATTTTTTTGTTCCCTTCAGTCTATAGTGGACCTGGGTCTCGAGCAGGTGATTTATGGGAAGATAAGTCATGATTATTCCGTGAAGGATTCCTTTAACTATGTATGAGTGAGCTCTCATCTCACCAGGAATGGTCATCTGGTCAATCCCGCCATTTGAAATGAGATTTATATGTGTATACGCGCCTTGGGACGCTGCCCTCAAATATGTGGGCCACATCTGCTAAACTCTCCTCTGAAAGGATTTATGAAGCAGAAAAGCGTAGAGGCTGTGGTCGAGGCACACGAAAATGAGGTCAGTGGATCGACTCCCCGGCGAGTTTGTTCTTTTGCCGTTCGCAGTAAGATAGCCAGGTGGATTCTCAACATCGCTATTCCAACACGCTTGCGTATAGCTAACAGTACAAAGAATTTAAGGGCAATTAATAGCGAACTTGGCCGGCATCTCTCCCTACTACTTTGGGCGCTCGTAGCGCAGGCCTCAGGCATCTTTGCTTGGAACAAGTATCTATTATATAAACCAACCAGATTGGTCCCCCGGCAACCACCGGGACCTCCTTACCTGCGTAAGCTTTACTCCCTCCAATGTGCTCCCATCCACTAGTGACATGGACATCTCGTGGAGGTGGCACCATGCACAAAAAAAGTGTCTTATATAGTAGAAGGCATTACCGTAATCGTGACATGACCTTAGAATGATATTAACTGGACCTCAAGTCTTTTGGCGGTTAGCTCCCCTCGCCCTTCCCATCTTATCCTATTCCCTCTACTGCCCTCCAGCTGCTATAGCAGCATCATGTGGAATGAATCAGACCATGCTCAGTAGGTGTTTATATAGCCGTTGGGGTGTTATCACATTGCAAAACATTGATTGCTAAAGTCATAGTTACTCGATTTTGTTAATGGTCTGTTTACTTCACGAGTTTCCCTACCACTTCATTTTGCGGACGGACACAACTACATACATACACGCACACACATACAGACATACAAACCGACACACAAAGTTAGCGCTTTATAAAATAGAAGGATTGATGTATGTGTCTCTGTATGTATGCATGTATGTATGCATGTATGTATGTAAGTATGTATGTCCGTCTGTCCGTCCGCAAAATGAAGTGAGTGATAAGAAAGCTCATGGAGTAAACAACCGCTAACAAATTGGGTAATTCGCAGGACTTGAGATATCGATGTTTTGTAGTAAATGTAATGTTTGTAAATGATAAATGTGATAGCACTCCCACGGCTATACAAACACCTGCATAGCACACTTCCGGTCATTCCACATGGTGTTGCAGTTGCAGCCGGAGGGCAGTGGAGGACGGAAGGGAGGATGGAAAGGGGAGGAGGAAAATCTACCATTATGTCATGATTGTGGCGATGCTCTCTACTATATGAAACTACTTTCTATTGCATACGCGTCACCTCCACGAGGTGTTGGTGACACAGGTGGAAGGGATCACAGCGGAAGATATAAAGCTTGCGCAGGAAAGGAAGGTTCCGGCGGTTGATGGGGGACCAGTCTGGTGATATCCATAATCACGAAGCCAGACTCTCCCTTCAAGCAAACTTCTAGCGGATTTTGAAATTTTGACCTAACCTCGAAAATTTGGGCAGTCACTTTACTCGCCGATCCATCAGTCCACTACAAAAGGCTGACCCTTGGATGGAATAAACCTTTCAAACACTTTTCAAAATGAACAAAAATTGTATCTGGCTTGCCTGTCTGCATCATCCAAAGATCTGCAAAGCATTATTTCCTAATACAACACATTCTCTCCCCTTTCCCCAGTCGTCCATGATTGGTCAACCCAAAAAGTAGAGCTTGAGGAGTGGTCATCCCATCACTGCTCCGCTTTCTCTAGTTCATGATCTCAGATTTGACTAAAAATTTGTTTTTAGGAGTAGTTTAGTCCCCTGAATACGGATATTTATTTATTCATTTATTTATTTTAGACGCTGCTCGCAGGCAGACGCAAAAGCTGCAGTCACAATTGCATACAATCAAACATTATAATCACATTATTCAATAACACAATAGCTGCTTCTTTGCTCTACGTTTGAACGACACAAAACCTGAAGAGTAAACTGCATACTGACTTTGAGAGAAATAAATGTTGAGCCAGCTCTACAAGTGAAGCTCGAGAGTTTTGAGCCTGTGTTGGGAGTTACATAAAAAATCTTCTCCGACGACCCTCTAGTTCTAGAAATAACTAATCGATAAAATTCGGATGAATTAACTTTGGCGATACGACACATAATTTTGAAAATCATACAAGCATCATAGAGCTTTCGGCGAGAATCTAGAGTATGCAAGTTATATTCTGTATTCCTGTGAGTTGAGTCTGGTATTCTAAAATAGACGAAATCCCCAGACTTGATGAAGATCTTTCTCGTGAAGTTGTTTTTGTCTTTCTCTAAGACTTCGACATCTACATGATAGGCCTAATGTATGGCCTCGTATATGCTTTAACCAAAACTTCCTTGTCATTGATGGTAAGACCTTTTAGACCAAATGTGCGGAATGCTGCCTTATCATAGAGAGATTCATAGTTTTTAGAAAAGCCGAGTTTATTATCATAATAAAATCCAAGATTTCCGACAGAAGAGACTTGGTTGAGTACATGGTTACCGAGAAGATATTCACATGCTAGATTAGATGAACCTATTCTTACATAAACTGTTTTATCCGGAGCTAATGGTAAATTCCATTTATTTGACCATTCTAGAATTATATCTAATGCATGTTGAATTCTATGTCTTTGTCACTTTCTAACTGTCCCTACTATTCTGTTAATTGTCGTCTGCGAATAGCTAGGAAGTTCAGCAGTGTAATTTGAAAACGGGATAGGTGAAAAACCACCGCCTTGAGGAGCACCACTTTTGACTCCTCTTCGATCAAAAGAGGCGGAACCGATTCTAACTTGAAATGTTCTGTTTGTAAGATAGTTTTCCAACCAAAGACATATTCTAGGGTGAAACTTTAGTTGAACAAGCTTATACAATAGCTTAGCATGGCTAATTTTATCGAAGGCTTCGGAAAAATCAAAATAATTACATCACAAGCTTGCTTTTTATCTAGGTAATCACAACAGTCATTAATACATTCTAGTAGATTGGTCTCTACAGATCTACCAGGAATGAAACCATACTGGTAAATGATATCTACATTCCTTTCGAGGTGATGCATTATATATTTTTTCAAAACCTTACCGAACAACCTGCAGAAATACGAAGTTGTACTGACAGGCCTATAATTATCAACAGATTGACCGGGTTCTTTTTTAAGTAAGGGTGTAATAAACGAATGTTTCCATCTTAGAGGAACCTCTGAAGAGCATAGTGAATGATTGAAGATGTGAGCCAACGGATCTGCTACAATATGAGCAATCTTTTTAACAAACGTCACAGGAATACAATCAGAAGTTAGCGATGATGAAGAAGGCAGTTCTTCAAGAAGCGAGTACCCTGATGAGCCATCAAACCAAGGAAAGTCTAACATTGAACGTTCTATATTAGCAGTAAAACTGGCAGCAGATTATCGTCCTCAGAAAATACCTCACAGAATCTGTCGGCTAATAAATTAGCTTTGTCTTCATCCAGTACAGCTATACGATCATCCTTCACAATGCAAGAAACTTTGCGAAATAGCAGGAATTTTTTATTCAATAGTTTGAAAAATCCTTTTCTGTTGTTCCTATTGATGATTTTTTTCTCAATATGCATGTTGTATATCCTGAGGGCACGATCAAATACATGAATAATCATGAAATTTCTCCCAATCTGATTCAGCTTGGGAACCTCTGGCCACAAAAAAACAAAGAGTATCTACGATGCATTCTCTGTAGATATGCCAGAAGATATGCTCTATGAGCACATACGCGTTTCACAGGAACAAACAATTCGATTGCATGATGGAATATACATAGGAACACTCCATATTTTTCATTGACAGAGTTAAACAGACTTTAAAGAATTCCTCCAGGCAATAGTAGAGAGATAGACATTCAGGCTTCCATAGTCACAACTAGAACAGTCTCTACGATACGTGAATTGAGATTCAATATAGCAGATCGATATAGAAATCATAAGACTATTATTGACACTGTTTCCAATCGGAGGCTCAATAGTGACATTGTTCACTAGATAAATCTCATTAAAAAGTATAAGATCAAGAATATTTTGCCCTATTGTAGGTTCCAAGACCTATTGTCTGAAGTTATGAGCTAACAAAATGTCCAGAATGGCCTGATCAAATGAATTCTGCTTCGCCGTCATTGTTCTCCAATCAATATCAGGGAAATTAAAATCACCAACAACTATGGAAGGTCTAATTAAGTTTAAAAGGACAGGAAGGAGCTCTATATACTGCAACTATTCTGATCTTTTTGTTCTCCACAAAAATATCAATGGCTAGTATCTCATATGCTTCTTGAGTAGAGTTGGAAAAGACCTCAATGTAAATGAATATCGTACTTACTTTCCACGGAAAAGCATAGCAACTGCACTACGGTCACCATGGGCACTCACAGACAAGTAGTGCTTAAACGTCAGAGGATCTTTGCTTGCAAACTCTTCGCAGATGTAGCGTTGGGCGACCGTTGATAAAATAACGGATTCAGAAAGGTTTTTCAGCCACGTTGAAAAAAAAAGCAAAACACTAAACCGCGGAAGGAAGCAAACCCGCGACTTCTCACTTGGGAAACAAGACCGCTGCCAACTGCGTTACCTAAGCTCACCACATCGCCTCGGTTCTCCTTTCCAAACATTTATAATGCAGCTATCATGTGATTGCAGGTAAGACACTGAAAATCAAGGGTGGCAACAAAACCCTCCGCAACTCCTTACAAAGAAGAGTTTGGCAGATAATGAAAGTAGATTTGAGTTCAGCGTCTCATGTTGTGCGTAGAAATGTGCACCTCATTTCATTTGGCCGGGTTGGCCTAATGACCATTCCTGGTCAGTTGCGTGTTCCGGAACTTAGGAATCTAAAACGCATTTAAAGCTCCTCGCCAAAATTTTCTCCTTTTGCGCTCTTCTGCTAGCTGCCTTCCTTGTTGTTAATTCTCAGCGTTATTTTTATCTTTGCCGCCACTAAGCTAGTACGCTTTGACACGTCGGAAATTGTGGCATGATTGAAATCGGCACAGTGCGACGGCAGACGCACACTCCGCCCTCATTCTGCATTTGCCGCGTCTACATTTAAACTGTAACGTCTTACCTCTTTTTGAAGAGTTGGCATAAGCTTCTCAAGGAAGGCAACATCATTCGTGGCCGAGAAATATGCATGAACGCACCAAGTAAGTAGAGGAGGTTGGGAACGATTCAGGTAATAGATCCGATTACCATTAGGCACAAAGCCGTATCTGAAAGACTATCTTTGGCGCACAGCATACATTATTTGTAAAAGATAACGCCAAAACATCATTTTCGACAGCTACATTTTGACCACGCACTTTATTTTACTGCTGGTCGTCTTTGGTTTCATTCCAGATTTCTGAAGATCATAAAAACAGTGTACAGAAAACAGTACCACAAAGGCTCAATTTGAACATCAAGCCCCGATGAGGTTGAATGTTTCAAGATGCTCCAAGATTACTTGCGCCAGACATTCAAAATACATTAGAAGAGATATATGGATTATTATCGTTTAGCGCTGCTAATTAGCTGTGTAGGTGGTTCTCTCGAACTGCATCCTTACTGAAGAACTGACAGCAACTTTAAGAAGGCTTGAGCTCATCTAATGCGACCTGTAATCATTCTGTACGAGGAAGGCGCTACTATCAAGGACATTGATAGATTTCTTGCGGTTTCTTCAGGATTCTACATCTGACCATAAAACCACATGGGGTGGGATCGTGCACAAGGCTAGGCAAAGACGATAGGTCAACGTTTCTACAGAGAATGATTAAAGTGGTTCATTCTCGGTAATCCGCGGCGGTTCATCAGAGGTAGTGCAAATAAACAGGATGTACTGGTCTTACCATTGGATGAGGCGCATTGAGAAGGAAAAATTGTACTTTCGATACTACCATATGCAGAAGTGTCATCACATTTCGGATCGCAGTAAGCAGCAGAGAATCCAAAAAGCTGAGAGATGCCAGCGCGCTTCAGTGGCGGCATGAATCTCTCGAGCAGATTCCTGACGAGAAAATATTCAAGGTGAGCCGGTATAACAGCAACACCCCCAAATCGATTTGGTGAGAAAAGCGGTTGGTTAAAGGCAAAGTCGTGCTCAGACCCACCTAATAAGCTCTTAAAGTGGCTAGAAGTGCATAGGACGCAACTCCAGGCGACTCGCCAAGTTCCCGCTCTACACTAAGGCGGTAGGGGCAAGGACTTCGACACTCCTCCTGTTGCGACACGCTCCGCCCACCGCTCTATATTTTGTCTGCGTAGAATGCTGATCTGCTATGCTCTCTCTTCTCGGATTTCTCTACCGCTCTCCGCGCTCACATTATTTCTCCTCTCCCTGCCGGCCTTTTGAAGCTCTCCGCAACGTGAAGTAAAAGGCTCGTCTTCCTGAGTATTTCAGTCTTTTTCTTCTTTTTTCTCCAATGGCGGTCACCCTCCCGCTCCCATATCACATTTGAGTAGAATTACCTTACCAGTGTAAGCTTGAATTTTGCCTTTAATGAAACTGTGGATGCGAATTCGACTGCAAATGAAGAAAGGAATTGAAGGAAACCGCCAATGTAGGCCTTGAACAAGATTCCCCCTTTTCCCCCTGGGGGACGGGCTTTCAGAAGAGTTGCCTGAACTAGCTTTCTCCACCGGCTCGTGCCATAAAATGCAAGTGCAGTCGCATGTACACCAATACAAACAACGACATATGTACCAATAAAAGGAATGAAATACGATAATCAACACATTGACGACATCGCGTGTTTTGGTATTTTTGGCCGCGCTGAACAGGAGCAATTTGCGAGCGCGCCGTCTTCACCTCACTTACGCTAACTTTCGTTCAAAATGCCCAATGACTTGGATCTCATTGGGTTATTTCAGCAAGGATGAGATAGCGGAGGTTACCTATACCAATAGCAGTACAATTTGGTTTAAAAGAACGCATAATTACTATGATGGAGCAAAAAACGTCTGCTTTCGTTGTGAAGGAAGTAAAAAGCATTTATACTTTACCAGTCTTGCTCCGCCCGTTATCGCGCGCATCACACGACAGGCTTTAGCGAAACTGCAGGACCCATGTAATATCAGCATGAGATACATCATTAACAAACCCACTATTGAATGTGTTAGACCTTTCGCAGGTTCGCTAAAGTCCATCGAGAATACGCTTGATAACGTCTGGAGCCGAACTGGTATGTACCTCACAACTGTAAACATCCAAAATTCTTCGTGAGTTCGGACAAGCCGTCAGTCTCAAAAGGAGAATGAAATATGTCTATTTACATAAGTGAATAGCTAAGGCTTATCATTTATCAACATTCACCATCCTACTATATATAATTCGCTAAGTATGTCTGTGCGTGTGTGTGTCCGCTCTGTTGTACCGAAATGCATAGCTCGCGTCACGCAATGGATAGGCAGCCCTGTGTTGCGTGGCGAGTGATAGACGGTGAGGATGGCTATGGAGGCAGGCCAGAGTGTACAATGACGCCAGGACCTGATGAACGGTCGAGATTTAATGAGCTGCTAAGAGGGCTAGTAGAACGAGCATCGCCAAAATTCGTTTTGTCGTTCATGAATGGTAAGGGCTGAGGATAGCGTCTGTACGTTACCTAGAGGGGGGCTTATGTGGGTGGCCCGGGACCATTTGTGCTACATGCATGAGTAAGCGAGGTAGCAAATTGATAAGGGCTGCTAAAAATGCCCTCCAGAAACGCAAAAATTCGTGCGGGCGATTGCGGTTACGCCGAGGCGCGGGGAGCCCCACAGCTCGCGTTGGCACCAAAGCATCCATACTTACAAGTGTTATGTGGGATGGGAAGGGGGACATTGTTGGTTGGTGATAGAAAGTGGTTACAACTGATAAAGGCTGATAAGGCGCGTTAGAACGCAAATTCGTCGATCCCGTTAGCGCAGATACTAGAGCGTCCCTACTTACAAATTCTATTTGTAGTGTTACGTGCACACTGTATCATTGTATGACCAGCTTACTTAATAGCAGTCTATTGCATAAACTCAATCAAGTCTTCGGCAAATGATAACTTTCATTTCTATCAAGAACGCCCAAACTCATTAAACCGCTAATCCTTTCGGGTATCTAAGTAATGGTGACTCTAAAAAATGATAAGTCTTAGCTCTTCACTCATGTAAATAGGCATAGTTCATTTCAATTTTAAGACTGACAGCAATCCCGTTCACCGCTAAATTATCTGAATTCAAGAAGAATGCTGGATGTTTACAGTTGTGGGATGCATGCCAGTTCAGCTCCAGACGTTATAACACGTATCCTCGATGGACTTCAGCGAAACTGGGAAAGATCTAACACATTCAATAGCGATATGGTTAATGGAGTACCTTATGCTGATATTTCATGGGTCC